AGTGATAATGAATACATGGAAAAACATTGGTTTACAATTACATACAAAAACAATTAAACAGTTCCGCAGACTTCCGCTCCTTTAATTGTTTTTGTATGTAATTGTAAACCAATGCTTTTCCATGTATTCATTATCACTTGCCCGTTGAAGACTGCAGACTGGCAGTCGAAAGCTCGTTTCAATATTTTTTTATAAACCAGAGAACGTCCAAACTATTAATATGAATAATCCTGGTTACGCTTCTACCATTTTTAAATACTTGAAGTACAAAGTAAGAGTAAAAGTACTATTGTCTATAGTGTGTGTGGGGGGGTCCCTCCAATAGATTAACATACAAAAGACACAAAATAGCACACGCATTATATGCGTGCACCATAATATACAATATTTCACGGCACGGTCTACTTTCCAGTCCCCGTTGAAGATATGAGAAGTCCATTAAATAAATAATGCTTATAAGTAAGCCACAAACGAGAGATCTCAGACGCATGTAGAGGTCCTATTATCTATCCCAAAATTAAAATAAATCAGGAACAAATTACGTAAAATTAAATGACAATGAATTTGCAGTTATCTCTTGTCCGGCAATAAATATGGCCAAGAACTCATCAATTATGTCATCTAATGTCAAACTGCCATCTTTATTCAAGAGGCTCAATAAGTCATCAGGAACGGCTTTATCGTCAGCATTGACCTTCATCCGAGTGGTGGTATAATCAGAGGCAAATTTCTTGAGAAATCGTGCTGCATTAATTTGCTCTCTTTTTGATAGCATTCTGAAACAACGTGAACTGGAATATCCCCAGGAGGGTGGGATCCTCAATAGCGTGCAGGGTATTGATATTAATACTCATAGCTTCCAAAGTGACTTTTGTAAATTCCTGGACCATACTAGTCAGCTTACCAGCATCAACAACTCTATCCAGGTGAGTCAAATATGTCACAAACATTATTAGAATTATCCATGAAGTCTTTCAGACACTTACGGTGAAAAGCTGGGTTCATAAGTTGCTGTCGTTTGCCATGATACTTCATTTGTATTCTATACCAGTCCATAACCAGCTCCCCTCCACCATAAACAAAATCAAATTGAGGATAGAAAAATGAACTTTTAAACAGGCTGGCATGATTATTTATGTAAACATGTCGCAAATAGGTAGCGTCTCCCAGAAATACAATAGGCTTGTGAATAAAAAGTAATATAAATATTGGCCCGTATTCGAGTCGTTTTTCCAGTAGAAACTCGCTCGTCGTTCTACCAATTTCAGCTTTGTATTTCCACATGTCTGGGAGATGCCACAAAAAGAGAACACAGCCAAAACATCCAAGCAAAAATGTGGCGAGGATGTATGAAATTAAACATAGAACTGTGACAGCCAGGGCCTTTCAGAGGAGGGCAATTTGCCCCGGGTCCCCAGTTTTAAGGGGCCCCAAAATTTGCAAAATTACCAAAAAATAATTTGGAACGTTTTTTGATATGAAGAATGGTATGAGAAAAAAAATTCTAGACTTAAATTATACAGATATTGGTTTTCCCAAAATTTTTGGGAAAAATAGGAGATGTTAATAATTTATTTTTAGTCGAAAATTTGATCGCTTAGGCCACATTGTTACCATGGCACATAAATAGCAAATCCCCATTTCACATAAATAGCAAATATTTTTCGTCATTGTGCAGATCTTATTTTTCGCTAACCACAAGTTCTTGTATAGTACTTGTGCTGTGTCGATTAATTAAAACCAACCACTTCTCTCGAATAGAAAGTTCAGCAGCAATAAATTCAACGAATTAAATTCGACGGAAATTGAATGCCGGACTATATAGTTCTCGACTGCACGCGGGCTATATCTCCTCCGCAGAGGTGTTCTTAGTTTGACATGCGGGGCTATATACCCACGAATTGTCAGGCATGCGGGTAATTTACTGAATGCGCGCAGCTTCCCTTGTTTCACCAATTACCCGTAATGCCTTACATTTTCAAGATATACAGCCCGCGTGTTAAACTAAAATTAAAGCCTCAGTGAAGGAGTGTAGGACTATAGTGAGGTATATGTCTTTAATTTTCCCCCACAGAGAGATAAAGACGTGGAAAAAGTTATGCAGAGGACCAAACTAAAGAAAACAAAGCGCGGATGCAAGAAGAGTTCATTCGTACAGCTTCTAGTAAGATCGCAGATCGCGAGGCAAATGAGAGACGCGCTCGACGTATAAAGGAGGATAAAAAACGAGATGAGGACGTCGAGCGACAAGAGAGAGAGACTGTCGAGTTGTTGTTGAATGCCCAGAAACAGTTATTGGATACTTCCTGTGGCCATCTGCAGGTGGGTGATGTTCCGATCTCGTTCCCAGGCTCTTCCCTCTTGAGGAGTTGGTTGGCCGATCCCGAGTAATTATTTTACAATACTGCCAAACATTTTTTTAGGGCTCACTGCCGCTCACATTGATACCAGTTCTATTAAACTGACGAGACTACCCTGGTGAAATAAACTTGATTTGCCATGATTTGATTTTGATTTGATTACTTACAAATCCCGTGGTGACACTTTCCAGAACTGAGACATAATACAAATGTGACGCTAAATTCTCAAAATTCTCACCATCAGAATTCTGTCAAATGTTCCCCCCAAATCCAGGAAATGGCCTTTCAGAGACTCTAAATTTAAAAATTTCCTCGCTTTCAGCCCCCCAATCAAAAAGAGCTTCCTACGGCACTGCTATCCATAACATTTTCACTTCAGTTTTGTTGATTTTATATGCATAATATAGCTGCTATTAAGGGGCTTTCCCGAAGATATTTCAAAATAATGTTCATTTTATAAATATTAGGCTGTTAACAATATGGAAAATTTAGACCAGGAATCAAAGTCACAGTCCCAGCCAGAAATTTTCATATTTTCTGAACCCCGCTTTCCCACTGGGCGAAATTGCTTCGAGGAAGGGAAGTTCACCGCGTCCTACTTTTTCACGGCAATTTTTTTTCGCTAACCAATCGTACACCACCGGCTTTACATCTTCAAAAAGTAGTACAAAAACCTTGAATTCCTTACTTTCTTGAGACGCTCAGAATATTTTATATTACTAACGGCAATTGTTTTTAATAAGAATAATGTCGAATGTTTGTCCCACAATTACTGGAATAAACCCCAACAGAATTTAGAATTTAGAAAATATCATATTGTACCCCCCCCCCTCGCCAATTCAGGACACTTTTGGAGAGCCCCCCTTGTTAACATTCCAGGACTACACCACTGACACGCACTTGTAATGATTACCACGTTACCTTCTCGCTCTTCTCTGACAATTAACTTTCTACGCTTCTCGAGGAAAGAGCCTGGATACGAGGTTGATACTTTCGTTGTTTTTCTCTAGAATGAAAATCTGAAACGAAATGCAAAGCTGGTTCAGTTTCTCAAAGCACGACAAAATGTTCTCGGTGACATACGGAATCACGGTAGTGCTGGATGTTCTACAGCGGATGAAAGTAGGAGAAAGTATGAGTCCCTTCTATTTTCATACTGACTGGCCTATCTTATCTTTAATGGATTTTCCTGCACACACATGCACGCACATTCGGCTCGTGTTCATATAATAGCACGTGTTGTAATATGTTATTGCAGGATGGCATACACTTGTACCATCCATGCGGTCCAACATTCCTTAGACCCACCCGTCTAATCATGTTTCATTATAGCAAAAGTTGTTTCGGCGTTGTTTACAGCATTAAACTAGGAAGAGGGCTGACAATGTTTGTTTTGTCAATGTGCATTAACTTTGCAATATTGGCTGGAACGGACTAGTCAAGGGTTATGTCCAAGATCAGAGGAGGAATGAGGGTCTTCCCACAATGCATTGCGTCTAATTATTATTCACAATTATAATTTTCAACGAACGTTTGGCAAAAAGTTGTTGAAATACATTGCGATTTTGGCTCCGTTTATCTTGTTTTTTCGAAGGTATGTTTTTATATTTGTATTATTTAAGACCCTAATTAAACTGTTTTTGACTTGTTTGGTACAGGAATTGCTTTTTAGTTATGCTAATTACGTATTGTAATTATGCTTGATTCGGGTCAGTGCACACGCCAATAAAATGACCTTGATATAATGCAGAAGCAAACTCACTTTTTTTTGAGGAAAATAAAAACAAAACACGTCATCGAATTCGGGAAGATTTTTTCTTTCTACTGTTACTTTAAAACATGAGTTTGCTCCACTAAACCGACAAGAAATCGCGGTTTGAAAATGGGGTACTTTCGCTATATTCTATCGCCGATGGCGGGAATAGACTCCCTGATAAATAATCATGGCGCGAAGGAAATTATTGTACTAATCACTATTTTTCATGATAATTTTGAAATATACGCATTTTTGTTCGTACATATTTTAAGTTTAATGCAATTTTTAAGGTTAGGTATGCTTATGTTTACCTGCCCTGACTGTATTTTTTTCATTTTATTATATAATTCGGCTATTTTGGAGTAAAAGTATATATTTTAAACGGGTATATACTTATGGTGATACCCCAGGGAAACCTAATAATAAAAGACACAGAATTTCTCGTTTGAAAATTCAACATCAAGGTTTTTACAAACATAAAATACAGTATGACCAGTTTGACCATACTAAAACATTGTAAAGTTGTCATATTAACAGTATTAAAACATTGTATTTTAATGCTTTTTTTGCCTGGGAGAATTTCTGTCCATAGGCATATTACGAGGCGGGGGGTTGCAACCCCTCCAGTCAGTGTTTAGTTGGGCAGAATTCTTCTTTAAAAAATTATTGGGCAATTGTTTTAAAATTGACTTTAAACAGTATATAGACTGGAGATGTATTCCTTCTATTTTAAATGACAATGTTGGGCAATTTCTATCCACCTGTATGCCATATTATTTTTCAATGCTGGGAGTGGCATTCCAGAAAACCTATAGTACACACATTTCCTGGAGAAGCATGCCCACAATCCTGGTAAACATCCATAAGTTTCTTTGTTGCCATCTAATTGTGCTGGCACTGAGATTGCCCCTCTCACTTTTGCTGTTTGCTTTGTAGTTTCCTATCAGAAAGATTAAACCGACTCCAAAGAAATCCCCAGTACAACTTCATAAATGGACATTTGAGGAAGATAAAGCATTCATTGAATTGATATCTGTTGCAGAAAATCATGCAAATGATTACGATTGAAGAGGTTTACCAATTATGTAATACCTCTAGTTGTTTTAATACATCATTAAGCTAGAGCAAAAGCATCACCTTTCATATACGTTATCATATGGCATCCGTGTTTCTGGTGAAATGAATGTGTGCAACATTTTAAAATTGTACGCATAAGATTTTATTGTTAAAAACCTTTTAATTATCTTTATTAAGTACAGTAATATTATGTTAATATTTTTTTCGATTTTAAAATAAATAAATTTTATCAACATCATTTATGTAGTGTGTGCAGATCTTTTTATTAATTTGTGATGAGCAAGGGAAGACTATACACTGAAAATCGTGAAAACCATACATACCATAAACCTCCGAATATAATCCCCCCCCCATGTACAAGCCCCCCCTTGTGTAAGCCCATCAAAAATCGCTTACGAAAGAATATAAGCCCATTACGGTAGATTGTCAAAAAAACTGCAGAACTGTAAGATGGTGTCCATGCATGGGATATACTTATGGTATAATCAAGTGATATATATATATATATATATATATATATATATATATATATATATATATATATATATATATATATATATATATATATATATATACCGCCTGATGATTCTTTACTGATGAAACAGACTGTTGCGGAATTTTGAGGTAAGCGAAATTCTACATTTGCTCTATCTTTGTGATATTGAGCACTCTTTGCGTTTCGTATACACAAACCTACTCGTATATATATATATATATATATATATATATATATATATATATATATATATATATATATATATATATATATATATATATATATATATATATATATATATATATATGGTATAATAGTGACGAAAACACACGCAGTACAGGAAAACAGGGGTAGGGCCAAGACTGTACCACTACAAGTTCCCCAACTCTATCCTTACAAATAAAAGAAATGTCAGTATTACACCAGACACCAATAAACAATTTTGCAGCTTCTGCTAAACATTTTCTTTCAATGTTTTTTAACCCATTGAGTATTGAGTGTCAGCACTCTCCCCCTGATGAGTAAATAGTCTAGTGTTAGACAGTAAAATAATCTGGCATTAGGCAGAGTAAAATAATAGACAACTGGTTGATCATTTGAGCATAGATAACTGGTTGACCAGTATAAATCCTTGCAATGCATCACACATTGCGATAGTGTTGAATTTACTCCATTTCATTCTCTACAACAATGCTACCACTGGGCGCTTCTTCCATCATTCAGTGTGTATGAATGTCTGTCAGGGCAAACAGGATTTATTGGTAAATTAAAACAGTTACAATCAGTTGGCTGATGTAATTCTATTGGTGGAAGTACACTATCCAGCTCATCATCTCGACTATCTGGGTCACATGGTGGGATTGCTTGGGATGTTGGTGATGTTGAAATGTCAAACTCCCAACAACATAACATTGTTATATTCTTTGTTTATACCTCCTTCCCGTAGATCATTAGGGTCGAAGAACTACATGATATGAAATAAAAATACGTTTAATACTGCTGTATTTATACAACATAGGAGCATTTTTATATTTCTATTTTTATATAAAAATCATCTCACCTTAAAAACACAACTAGAGTGAATTTGTACCAGTGCAGGACTACCGCAATCAGCGAACAATTTCATCAATTTTTATCCCGTTAACCACAGCTGGACAAAAGACTATTCTTAGAACTATCCGTAAAACTATAAACATGAACCTCACGACATTCAAGTTCATCACACGGTAATTCTTCCGGAATCAAGATTAAAGGCTGTTTTGACACACAGTGAACACACAGAAGCTCGTGTCCACCCAAAAAGGTAGCTTTCTTTCCATGCGTAGTGCAAAAATCAACCATTTTACAATTTATTTTCGATAAATCTTTTCTGAACTCTTAAAACCTCGAGGTGTAAACACAGCGAAAGCCGACCGAACAATGACGGCGCACGGGCGCAGAGCGAGAAATCGATAATATCAGGGCGCTATAAAACACGGGCGGGGAAACGCGCTAATAAATGACCGTGCTACGTGTGATGCTCATTAGGATTGGCGCGAGCGCGCTTTCTCTAAAAAAATCAGAAAATCGCGTACAAGATGGCAACAAAAAAATGTAAACAAGCAAACGATAAAACAAAGGATTTAAATGCTAAGTAATTATGTTTCGTTCATTAAAATTTGAAATATTATTTAATAAGTTATATCACGTGTAATAGCTTGTGTTGTTTGTTACTGAACACTCGGTGAATGAAAATATCAGGGCAAAAATTTTACTCGAGCGATGAAAATATTCGCAAAATTCAAAGCGCGGACGTGTTTAAAATAGTGTTTTCTCCTCGTTGAGATAGGTTGAGATAAATTTGAACACACCAAACTATAGACATTTAACTTGGCTTTATGTCTCAAGTAAAATTGAACGGTGCTTTTTTGTGCTTTTTTCAGAAAAAGGAGATATCTTGCAGCCCTTATAGTTTTCCGTATACTCCACACGACAATAGAGACAACTCATTTATGCAGATAATACGATGTTTAAACAACACAAATTTTCAATTATTAATTAAACGAAATCACTTCCTGCCTCAAATACATACTATAAATGTTTATTGAAGTATCTAGTATCAGCTTATATTGCTAAAATTGGTATCTATTTCACTTGCAAAATGAACAAAGCGATTGTTGAGGAAAAGACATGCATTTTGAACTCGATTTTGACGACATTTTTTCTTTCTTGTCAAAGCGCGGACGTATTTAAAATAGTGTTTTCTCCTCGTTGAGATAGGTTGAGATAAACTTGAAAACATCAAATTATAGACATTTAACTTGGCTTTATGTCTCACGTAAAATTGAACGGTGCTTTTTTGTGCTTTTTTCATAAAATGGAGATATTTTGAAGCCTTTATAGTTTTCCGCAACACTGTCACTGCAATATCAACGACTACAATCGTACGAAAAAAGATTCACGCTGAATATTTTTGGAGTGTCGGCGGCAGTTATACTCCAATAATAGAAATAATAGAAATCAAATCAATTAGTAAAAACACTTTATAATGAACTTTCAGTGGATTTCCAAGCAGGCCGGCTGATTAACACAAAAAACGGTTATATATTTAAGTTTTCAAATTGTCGAACAAAATGAAATTGTAGGGTTTTTTTTTCAAATTCTCTGACCTGTTTTAAATGCATGCACTGTCAATTTTGGGCTATATATGTTTATTGAAAAAGAGTAGCCAAGCAATATCAGAATATTCTTACTGCGAAAATGTTTGTCCTACCTTCGCATTATGAAGTAAAATATCCCATTTCATACCAAAATTTTCGTATTTGGAATATGCCCACATTCGATCAGCTCGATTCCTTTTCAAATTTTTATTTCGCTCATGATGAATCTTTCCTTCATGATGAATCTTTCCTTCATCAGATATACAGAAAATGAATCCAACAATGTCTTCAAACCATCAAGTTGTTTAGGAATGTGCAGAAAACATTTTTTACTTTAGTTTTTTCAGCTCTTTTTGCATAAACATTCCAATTCCATTTTTATTGGCATATAAATTAATGTATACGGGGGGTACGCGCATCACACAAAGATCAGGGGCGCTATCTCCGTTTCACCGCCCGTGTTTTATAGCGCCCTGATAATATGTAAAAAACCGCGCCTGACCGCGTTGCATGCCGGTATAGTCCTCACTCCTCCTCTGGTCCAAGATTGTAGCTACCTAGTCCCTATACTTAACTACGGTTTTGAATACCTTAATTAGCCTTGGAAAGGTCATATGTAAATAATGTAAGTACAGCAAGAGTTCCACATACTTGGCTGAGATACCAAACTTCGGTACATAAGCAGATTCATCGCACGCTAATGGCCATTTGCATTATAGACTAAATTTTGATTTAGACAAAAATTTTATCACAGCTTGAAAGAGCATCACAAAATTAGTAATATTCCAAAGTTTCGTTGCGAAATGTTGTAAAATGCGGATAATATAGCCTTGCGAAGTTTGCCGTTTTTCAGTCATTTTGTATTACGCACGGGAAATTGACGGCATGTAGTAAAACACTGACTACCGGAACACCACCGGAACACCACCTAACCCTAACCCTAACCCCAACCCTAACCCCCAACCCTAACCCCAAACCCTAACCCTAACCCTAACCCCAAACAAAATGGTGGTGTTCCGGTGTTCCGGTAGTGTTCCGGTGTTCCGGTAGTCAGTGTTTTACTACATGCCGAAATTGACAGCCCAATCGGGTGTTGCTGTTGAGGCATCAATTTCCCGTTTGTAATACAAAATGACTGAAAATTGCAAATTTCGCAAGGTGATGCTCTTTCAAGCTGTCTAGACTTGTTTAGATCAAAATTTAGTCTATAATGCAAATGAACCTGAAAATAAACTTTAGTAGCTTTACTTCATCATGTAAAGTTCTTCACAGTTCTTACTTCGTTAGGATATTGTAAACTATGGAACTATTTATGTAAATCTGTTCCTTCCAACTGCTGCGACCATAGATATATAAGATATCTATGGCTGCGACACTCCCCACCTTAAATCATACCTACATATAAGACTTACCTCCACCTAACTGCTAATGTATCATTCCTAGTGACTTACCTAGTAGCTCACACTCATCAGTTCATCACGACTAACTAATATCTTCCAGGTCATTCTATACCATTTCTCTCTTCTGTGCTTCTAGTTTTTTATTCACCTTCCATTTTTCTATTCTATATTTTTCGAATTCTTGCTCTTCTACTGAGTGTCTCCCGAAAAACTGGACACTGTAATTTGATTTCATGTAACGTAAAAGCTGTAAAAGCTATCGCAATGAAATCAAGATCATTGCATTCAGAAAGGACTAATATAAGTAGGGTAATTATATAAGGTTGTTTTTTGCTAATTTTTGGCATTTTCAAAAACAGTAGTTCAACGTTCAAACATCAATAGACAATAGCACAGTCAATACTGGATGTCAATTCAAGTGCTCATAGGCCTATATCAGAATCTAAGTAAATTATAGTCCTTTCTGAATGCAATGATCTTTATTTCATTGCGATAGCTTTTATAGCTTTTACGTTACATGATATCAAACAGTGTCCGGTTGTTTTTTCTCCAAATTAAAAATTAAAAATAAAATCAATTTAACAATGATACCCTCTTTATATAGATCTGTAGACTTGGGTGAGTTTAACCGCGCAGAGAAAGGCCGAAAACTCTCCATGGTCGGTGATCTTACTGAATTTCAGCGACAAGAGAAAGGTCGCAAACTATCTATTATTAGATAGATAGATAGATAGATAGATAGATAGATTGTTTGTTTAATAAGATTAACACATAGCAGCCAAGAGGCTGAATTGCGTGCTAAATTTTACAAGAAAAATGATTAAATTAGTTATTCTATATTTACAGAAGTTTAAAGTTACATTACAAATTAGCTATGAAACTAGTAAATTTCTAAAAAAATGTTAGCTAGTCTAAAACTGAATATCAGAATCGATTGTTAGTTAATATTATTGATATGCCTTGCAGATGAAGGGAAAAAACTGTTTCTAAATCTGTTCGTTTTGGTCTGAGGAACAACAAAAGACCTTGAGTGTCTAAGGTCGTAATTTGGAAAGTATCTAGATGGTACATGATTATGCATATTAGCTACTGGTGTTGTGGTGATTTCATTAAACAG